TTCTCTTTTTCCCTTTTTTTACATATATGTCTGTACATCCTCTGTGTGTGTATGCGTGTACAAGTGTGTGTGTGTGTTGTGTGTGTGTGTGTGTGTGTGTGTGTGTGTGTGTGTGTGTGTGTGTGTGTGTGTGTGTGTGTGTGTGTGTGTGTGTGTGGTGTGTGTGTGTGTGTGTGTGTGTGCGTGTGTGTGTGTGTGTGTGTGTGTGTGTGTGTGATTTTTTTGTGTTTACATACATATATCATTATATATATATATTATATATATATATAATATATATATATATATATATATATATATATATATATATATATATATATATATATATATATATATATTATATATATATAGTATATATACATTACACGAATATTTTTTTCTTTCTTTCTTTCCTTTTTCGTTTTCATTTTTACACACACACACACACACACACACACACACACACACACACACACACACACACACACACACACACACACACACACACACACACACACACACACACACACACACGCACATACACGGTGTGTGTGTGTGTAGTGACGACAGACAGACAGAGAATGTGAATAATGTATGCATTAATATATCAAACAATGTCCTTCCTCCTCCAATGTTGGAAATCATACCCCTGAGCAGGTTATGCACGGTTGGTCTTTTCACTCTCTGTTTGTGTCCATTGGAATGATTTACCTCTTTACTTATACTCCACGGTCCTTCGGGGAACTCGTTAGGCTATAGCAAAAAGCGCGTACGATCCACGTACGAATAACACTCCGACTTACAGCTTTTATGTCATCACGTTTGAAAACATACCAAAGGAAATGCAATAAAAGACAGAAGGCAATACGACGTTCACGCAAGATTACAGTTAGAAAATGCCGTGCTGTAATAGTATATGCAGGGATGGCACCTTGACTGATGTGTTTTATGCAGACTCTATGAATGAGCCTAAAATAAGAGTCGCTGCCGAAAGATGATGAATGGCCAGAAGAGACATAATAATAATACTAATAGATAATGATAATAATCAGAGGCCTAAAGAATTAGAGAATGAGTCGATTGGATATTGTAAACTCGCGCATAACAGATAAAACAAATGATGGATGGTATAGATAAGGAAAACAATTGTAATATAACATTGAATAATCAAGACACATAAATAGGTAGTAAGTCGATCGGAGTTGTCGGATTAGGATAATAATGATAATAAAGAAGGAATAGGATCGCAGTCATCTAAAAGTGGATACTCGAGAGCATAATAGATGATGATGATACCATGAAAGACGAATGATACACTGAATCAGAAGAAGATAATCATGATCGAAATAGAATCGATTAATGGAGGACTATGCGGACAGAATAGTGGATGAAATAGACATGCTTGATTGCTCAGTCCTGTAGATCTCATATCATGCTATTAATTTCGAATGGTTATACATATAGTATAATGGAATATACTGTGCATCTTATTACACTCCATTAGTACATTGATTCAAAATGGGCATCATGATAATACCAAATCGGTCACATAACTAGAACTAATTATTTGATTATGTTGGAGATAATTTAAATAAAATATAGTGTTAGTATATTTTAGGATTTCTTTTGATAATAACAATGAATGATAATGAGTAATAATAATGAGTCTTTCACCTCATTGATAATGTTAGAATATAATATGTAATTAGATGATAATACTAATAATATGATGAATGAATTGATTAATAATTGACATAATCATAACGTTATTTAAAAAATAAAATGTTAAATAATATATCATTTATATTTAATAATCAAAATAGATAATACTATAATAATAATAATAATAATAATGTAATTGGGAAGAGGTAAGATGAATATAATAATATTAATATATAATAATAATGTTAAATTATATTGATAATATAATAATTAATTTAATCTATTAATAATAAAATTGGTATAAAATAAATTAATATAATAATAGTAATAATAAATGATACCTATTAAGATAAAAATTAAAATTCAAGCTAATAATATTTATTAAAATAATAAATAAATATAAGCACCATAATTGAAAATAATCAATAATAATGGGATTCAATAATCAATTAAATAATAATAATAATAAATAATAATGATAATTATAATAATTATAGTAATAATAATAAATAAGTAATACTAAAATCATATAAATATGAATATAATAATTACCGATAATAAAATTCAATAATTATAATTAAATATAATAAATAATATATAAATAATAATAATAAATAATAATAATAAAAATATAATAATAATATAATATAAAGTAGTAGTAATAATAAATGATAATAATAATATAATTAAATAAATAATAAATAATATAATAATATAGATATATTAAATAATAATTAAATTGTAAATATAATAATATAAATAAATAATTAATAAAGTAAATAATTTAATTAATTATAATTTTTTAAATAATACTTTTATTTATTATATTTTTTTTTTTTTTTAATTTTTTTTTTTAATAAGGTTAGCTCGACTTTAATTCGACGAATTATTTGAATGATGATGAATTGATGCGAGACACATGGCAGTACGGATGATCAGGGTGTTATAGATAGATTGAATGTTATTAATATAATGATGAATAATAATAATATAATAATAATAATAAGTAATAATAATAATAATAATAAATGAATAGAAAATAATAAATAATAGTCAAATGATGAAAATGAATAATGAATAAGATAGTATGAATTTATAGATAAAATAGAAATATTATACAAGTGACACGTTAAATAAAAACAAAAAAATCAATAATAATAATGACAAAAATAAAGAGGATAAATAATAGTAGTATTATACACTTATGTACTTAAAATAGCGATGTACCTCAAAACAATGATGATGAGATCAGATAGTATGATGATAATTGACTAATAATAAATGAATAACATCAAACAATAATAATCAAAATATAGAATAATAAAAATAATAATAATGATAATGATAATAATAACAAATGATAATAATAACAATAATAAATAATAATAATAATAATGAATAATTAATAATAATAATAATTGGGTATAATACATACAAGTAAATAAATAACATAAATAATAATTAAGGAAAAATGAAAATTGGGACTAATAAAATAAACTAATACTTTCAATTAAATTGACTGAACTAAAACAGTAGGAGTAAGGGAATACATCAATCGAAATAGAATAAATTAAACTTAATGAAGATTAATGCAGTAAGTACAATAATAAATAATAATAATTTAATTACAATCGAAATAATGATAATAATAATAATAAAAAAGAGCAGAAAAGGAAAAATAAAGAAAAAGATAATGCAGAATGATAAGTAAGATAAACATATATATAATAATAATTGACATCCAATAATCATAATAATTAATAATTAACTCACATTAATAATATTCCAATGAAATAAGTAATAATCAAAGTCGAATCATAGAACACAGCATAGATGCCAGAAGACAGTAGAAGAACGAAGACAGAAATTGAATTAGCTTTATAGATATTCATTGAATCAAAAAATCAAGAAAATGATAAATGATTAAGCTTCTATTAACTACCACTTCATCGCAAGAGCGTCCATTACCTCCGCCAAACGGCAGATCGATGATAATAAATGATTCAAGTACAAAAATTGTCCATCATATGGTATAATAAAAATGAGTTACCGCCTAAAAAACCTAGGCTCAGGGGTAACTGCACTGATGTAATCCCGAAATATGTAAATATGAGATGTGAGTAGAATATAAGGATATATCACTAGACTGATGATAACTAAAGAATGGATAACGCAAGGGACACTCTGAAATATAAAGTGATAGTGTAACTCAGAGGATAAACTAAATAGACATAAGATAACACAGACAGTGTAGATGATGGGACGCTCACAGGACAGTTCAGGCTATATATCGCGCAGGTGCAGTGGTGTAGAAAATGATAATCATAGCCGTAGAAAACCTTTGTATAATGATTAGACTCTAAATAATAATTGCGCCTCTCTTGCTGATTCTATGCTTATATTAGAATAAAAAGAATATTTAATAGAAGGTAGAATTGAGAATAAGAGGAAAGTAATAGAATCGAAAGCAGGGAAATGGAGGGAGTGAGAAGAGGAGTAATAAGTTATAGGAGAGTAATAATAGAATAAAGAATGGATAGATGAGAAGTAAGAGAGTAGAGGAATAACTGAAAGAGGAGAATAATATAATAGATGAAAATAAATATAAGAGTGAATAAAATATAATAATAATGACAACAATAATAATCAATCACATGCAATGAACTATCGCTAAAATGTAGAAG